CCAGGCACTTGCTTCTCAGGGGCACCAAATCTGGACAGCCCCAAGGTTAAGTCTATTCAGTCACCAAATTTAAATTACAAATAATAGCTTTTATTAAATTCTCAACCTCGGATAATGCATTGTACTAGCATTCTGATTGGTTCACTCAATCTCGGTTATCAGCTCATATACTTTAGTTTCACCTTATATGGAAAACAACAAAATTTCTCTCGGACAAAGCGAGGGAAAAAAATAGAGTCCGTGAGCTTTCTACCGACGGAAAAAAAAAATACATAACGGCATCGACAAAAAAGCCACAAACTTTGGTTTGAAATTATTTACTGGTAATTATTTAAAGTTTTCTTACAAAGTCAAATAAATTTTAAGCTTAAGGTATTCTTCCGTAACGACAACAAGAACAGAGTTTACCTTAAACATTTTCAGAATGGCTTGCAAGTCTTTGAAGGAGTAAGTTTTCAAACGATTAGCAGATTTTTTGCGTGTTTGAAGAACCGTTTACACCTCTTAACATTTTCGCAAGTCCATAATGCATCAGTCAATTCCAGCTGCGCCCAGCACCCCCCCGGGCTACTGCGGGGCATTTGCCCGCCTTGTCAGTCCCGGGGGTGGGGCATTTGCAAATTTTGTGCTGCCCGGGGGCAGGGCATTTGCCAACCCCGGGACCATTCCTGAGCTTTTGACACGTACGCGGTTTCCTATCAGAAAATAACTACACAGAGGATTTTACTGGGAAAGAAAGCAGATTGGCTCATCTGTCAAGGACAGGAAAAATTGAAGAGGTTTGTAAAGGCATGTTCTTGATTTTATGCATGCATTTCATTGCTTATCGAGCCAGAATTACATAGCGAAATCGGATGAGCTATCGACGTGAATCAACGTTTTTTGGTTATTGAATCAAATTTCTGTTGAGATTATTTGAAAAACATCCTTTCATATTTATAAAACTATTCATAACATATAACTTGACAGCGCTCTATTATTTTAATGTGAATAATTTTACATCAATACTAAAATTATAAACTGGTGCATGTCGTTGCGGCGTGAAGTCTTAATTAGAATCATAGCGCTATTGCAAAGGAAGATGTTAATTGAAACAAAAAATTCACATTAAAATGCTTAAAACGGCACTATTCGACTATGCGATCAATGAAAAATGTTGCAGTGTTTACGGAGGACGGGGCATTTGCCCCCTTTTTTCGNTCTATTATTTTAATGTGAATAATTTTACATCAATACTAAAATTATAAACTGGTGCATGTCGTTGCGGCGTGAAGTCTTAATTAGAATCATAGCGCTATTGCAAAGGAAGATGTTAATTGAAACAAAAAATTCACATTAAAATGCTTAAAACGGCACTATTCGACTATGCGATCAATGAAAAATGTTGCAGTGTTTACGGAGGACGGGGCATTTGCCCCCTTTTTTCGTCCCCATCCCGAGGGATTTGACAGCTCAAGAGTCCCCACCCCCGGGAATTTGGCATCCAAGGCAAAAAAAATGCTAATGCCCGGGGATCAGCCCGGGAGGGGGGGGGGGGGGGGCGCTGGGCGCAGCTGGAATTGACTGAGGTATAACAGACCATAACGGTCCTCAAGTGAATGCTACAACCAACCAGTGGCTTTCCATTGAACAACAACAACTTTACAACAACAACAAAATGAAGCTGGGTCTTTGAGTAGTTCCGATTCAGTGAAGGAAGAAAACAAAATTGAAAAGCAATCAGGTCGACCTATCCAGCGTCAAATTCCACAGTCACATCGAGGGAAAGCGAAAACAGTACTTGTAGAGGATAATTTAAGCACGGTGTCCTTCCCTTCCCTGTCAGATTTTTCATTCTACTAAGTTAGCAAACGGCGCACATGTCATGTGATTTTCCATTGGTTTACCGTACCGAAAGTTACATTAATATTCGGTCGCTTTTTAATATCTAAAATGAAATTTACTAAAATTCAGTTGTAATAACGAGACGTTTGGAGTTTTAAAAAAATTAATAAAATAATTATTCCAGTTGCGCTTGTTGGATATGAGATAGTTATAGCCAACTCGACGCTACGCGCCTCGTTGGCTATTTACCACCTCATATCCAACGCGCATTCGTGGAATAAATGTTAAGTATCCTAGCTGAGCTGACCGCATTGGGCTGAGAAAAGGACCTAGTCAGCTTCTTCCACTATATTAAAAACTACTCTTTTCACTTCCATAATTTTACATTCATCTTGGATTACTTTCAACAAGCAATGATTTCATTCATTTATTTACTTTTTTTCTTTTTACATTATTTGCATTTCGAGCTTTGAATCTAGTTCAGTGAATGAGCGAAATACAAAATTTATTTTGTAATTAGCCTACGTAGCTAGCGGGATGCGTGAGGTATTTTATTCATGCGCGCCTTAGGGCTTGTTATGCACCAGGTATTTTCTTTACCCGCGGTGTTCTTTCGATGGCGGAGGGCTCGACCGCCAACTAAACAACTGAGCACTCCCTTACTAATCCAGCCAGCTACGCAGTCTATTTTGTTATTAATAAAACCATTTTTTTTACCTGTGGGGGTATTCCAGGCCTTCGTTTGTAGTAACGATACATGGTTCTTTTCCAAAACAATTCAGTTTCCCTTTGCTCAGTCTCAATATCAAACTGAGGCAGCGAGCTGTCATATGCCCTCAATATTAAGGGCAGTGTGTTTTTAATCCATCGATGGCATGGAAAAATGAAATCTTCGTAGTCTTGTCCACTGTAACGACGTACTTCAATCGTTTCAATAAACCATTCGACGTAATTTCTTCGATTCGTGGCGTCGCGGCGGACAAACTCGATCTTGCACAAGCGTCCGATGCTAACAGGTTCACAGAATTTGAAGGTGTCTGTGTGTCCTTTCTTGAATACTGTAACACAACACCCTTGCAGGCATAATTCCTTAGATCTGTTGCCTTTGTCATCGATCAATGTTAGAAAAGCGGCGTTGTGTAAGCCTCCCCCTTTTGTGTCCCCAGTTTTGACGGTTATTAACAAACCAGGGGAATCAAAACAGCTCATACAGTCTACAGTATTTCCCATATCAATCCTTTGCTGCGAAAACCAGCATTTCACATGCAACAGGTGTGAGATTCACGCCGGCGAAATAAACGTTAAAACACCGGCGATGCTCGTTTAGTTCTCTCTAAACGTCAAATATCTTCGGGGAGAGCTTTGAAGAACATTATATCAATATTTTCAATTATCATTTACAAAGATCTTTGTAAAGTCTAGCAACTCTCAAGCTAAACGCTATCTCGTCTTCTTACCACTGATAATCCATCAGGTTTAAGGCGCCGAATAATCCCGGGGCTCGTTTGTTACTCAGTTTCCAAGGGCTCCAAGTACTAACTCGCCTCCAAGTATATACAAAACTGTTCGCGTTTCTGCAAAATTTCAGTTGTGCCGAGTAAACCACGCTGAAAGGTAATTTATACTGAAAATATGATTGAAAGTAAACTAAACAAGCAGATAACTGACCACAAGCAACAGGTAGATAGATTGGCTTGGTCATTAAAATTTAATCGCCTCATTCGTCGAATACCTGTTCTGCAAACTACGCAATATCTTAGAGATGCAGCCGGATTAAAACTATTACTGACGGCAAAAAAAAAGAAAGACAAAAAAAAAGACAAAAAAAGAAAATAATAATTTTATAAAAATAGATCAGTACTTATAAAAGAAATTATAGGCCGAAAACTAAACAATACTGTGTAAAAGTTTCAATCCTTTTCGTAATTATGTTGCGTCTTTTCCAATACCCAAACAAAGTTTCTGGGAGGAATCGCACACGATATTACTACATATATAAAACTTCGAAGAAGATCAATAAAAGTGCTTGCATCGTTTTTCTTTCTCATCTAACTTTGAATCAAAAACAGTATCGTCAACATACTTTTTATTTTTAGAAAATTACAAATGAATTTGAATAGAAATACAAATTGAAATTACGTAAGTAAAAAAATACATATTGCACATGAAATAGAAATCGCTATATTACAAGAGATTTGCCTGAAATGATAAGGCCTAGGCCAAACGTCGAATTTTTTATGAGACGAACCCGAAACTCTTATTTGGGTCGACCTAAATTAAAGTTAAGGACGCGCCGAACCAACTTACTGAATCAGAGTCATCAGCTGACCAAAAATAAAGCAGTTTTTATAAATTTTCTCGCTAACGAGGCTTAATATTCATTGTCAAACAAATCTTAAAATTGTCACTTAAGTTACGACTCGAAGAAATCGGATGAAATCACGCTACAGTTAAGTTCGTCGCATTTGATGTTTGAAGATTGACGTTTGTCCCGGAGACGACCTTTGGACGTTCCATCTGTCAGAGGGAGGATGGACAGAACGTGTTGGACGATCAAACTCATTCAAACGAACTTAACTGAGCTAGACGTCGAACTTCGGTAAGTTTGGTTCGTTTTTTGTAAAGTTCGAGGTTTGTCCCAGGCGTAACTCACGAATATAATTCAATTCCAAGGACAAGTCTTTGAAAAGCTTGGATTCTACAAGTCATAAGGCGCGGTAACCTACTACATCATTTCTCAGGGTGTCGGTAACGGCGCAATGTCTTTTCTGCTTAGAAGAAAATATTATTAACGCCACAGTGGTGCGTCATTGTAACGGCTTAACGTCACCACCCAATAAAGTGATCATCTGTATTTAGACGATATCTTCATCGCTGTAGCAATAAGCCAGAAGACACCTGTTCTGTGGCCCAAAGAGGTATGAATCTCCCCTCTACCCCTGTCCAAACGTTATTACAGATAGGATCATTATTACGCTTGGGTTCAAAATGTTATTACGGATGGGACTTTTATTACGCTTGGGTCCAAATGTTATTACAGATGGGACCTTTATTACACTTGGGTCCAGTTATTACACTTGTGCCTTCTACAAAGTACTTTAGTTTACTGGTAAAGTACATTAGTTTCTAACGGTAATTACAACTGGATGGCGGTGCATAACGGCGTGTGCCGGTAGTTAGCTTTTTCTGGCCAGTCTTCTTTGTAATGCCAGCACTAAAGCCAAAACAGCCAAAACAGCCAAAACAAACGGCAAAAAGTAAAAAGATAATGTAGTAATTACCGATTGAGTTTCCCACATATTTGTGACAAGGTGATTTTTCGCATTACATTTTCCTTTTGTCACCCAATGATCTGCGAGATCATGATAAACCTTTGGCTCAAGTGGTGATTTTGAAACATACCATTTGCATATTTGACACAACGATAAATCAAGGTTGCCGCGAAACACTTTGTATTTTAATCTCCATTTAAAGTATTCGTTATAAGCGGTATTGTTAGTGTCCAAATAATGAAGGTAATCCGCCAGTTGTTTCACAGTTTTGAAGTCCAAAACATTGCTGTAAGACCCAGGAATAGCCAGCTTGGTGTAATCTGCACCTCCCATCACGACTGGGACAACATTGAGGTCTTCACCTGTATTGAAAAATATAATTGTATTACTTTCTATGACTGTATTAAGGTTTTTCAGAATGCAAGATTTGCCTTACTTAAATACCAGGTTTCGTGATTTTAAAGGAAATTGGCGAGGGGGGGGGGGGGTGGGGGTATGCTTCGGGATTGAAAGTATACATGGAATGCGGCATCCCGATCATAATCATCGGGATTACGGGATTGCGCGAACGTTTGGGTCGGGATGAGGGGTTTGAAGCTCCCTATTGAGGACCCCCTAAGGTCCTGTTTAGAGGGAGGAAGGGTATCCCTGGTTCTAGGGTTACCCCAGCAAGAGGGTTACCCTAGCGCTCACACATTTCTTCTTTTTTTAGGCGACGTGTTTACAAGGCAGATCGGGTTACTCTGGAGCTAGGGTAACGGTAATTGAGTGCTAGGGTTACCCAAGCAAGAGGGTTACCTTGTCTGCCTTGTAAACGCTCTGCTAGCGATAACTAGCCTACCCGGGACAACCTTCCTCCGTCATGCGTAACCAGTAATCTTGACAATTTGAACGGAGTTATCCAATTTCTGAGCTAAATTATAAACATCTGGGCAATGTACAATGTACGACATTTTCTGTATACAATGATAATATTTTTTCGTTTCTTTTCGTGAATTTAATTTGTGTTTCATAGAGAACTTCAAGTTCTCTTTCAAATCTTAAACGTTACGAAGAATGTTTCTTTTTGTCTTATGTGGTCACGCGTGACAAAACATGTCAGCATAGCTGGTAAAGGAGACCTGGTAATCAAAATTAGGAACTTAATAGACAAATACATGTGGCATATATACAATTGTATTCTTACCAAGTACATTCCAATACTTCTCTGTGATGTAGTCCTCGCATAAAGCATTCTCGAATGACAAGTAGAACTTGTACTTTTTTTGAAGGCAATTGCTCATTGGAGCAGGGCAACCTCTTCTCTGCCCAAACATTTCGGAACATCTTTTAAACACGTCAACTTTAATGTATTTTTTTAGTTCTTGTACTAAGGATATTCGAGGTTGAGCGCGACAATTGCTACTCCTCCAGGCCACCAGTTCGGTTTTTCCTTGGGAATAGTCCGGAATATTTCGCGTTTTGTTAATTTTCTCTTCTTCACTTAGTACTACGTAGCTTCCGTATGGCGACCAGAAATCTGAATCACTCCTATACGTCCATGTTAAATTAAACAGCCCGTTTAACGGGGCTGGATTTGGTGTTGCATTTGGACTTTCCCACAGAGCATACACCCAGCGTTGCGATTTGGGCCTGTCTTTCAACAGTGTTCCAAGATGCTCTACATCCGGCATGTCTCTGGCGTGAAATATCACCAAGTCGCTTTCCTTAAACCGATTTTTGTCATATGTTAGTTCGAAATCGCCTGAGAGACATTTCTTTGCGGTGAATTGAAATTTGTCTTCAAATCCGCAGCTACCACGATCTTGTATCCACTTTTCGGTTCCAAAAAAAACGGTGTAAACGAGTAAGAGCGTTTTTGTTTTTTCTTGTTCAGTTGTTGTGCCTAGAGCTGTGTTCATGTCTTCCATTGTTACCTTGTTGCTCTTCAATGGAAATTTCATTCGAAATTGGAAAAAAAACCACTCGATAAAGTAGAAAATGGCGAGTCCAGCGGCGAGGAAGAAAAAATATTTTGCCCAGCGTCTTCCCATAACAGCACAGTTTCAACTGAGTAAAAAGAAAATGGCGATTTAACAGTATATACTGTTTTTAAACTGTTTTTAAGCATCTGCTAAGTCATGATTGCGATATATTTGCCCCTGGTCGTCACGGCAACATCCGGTCACGACATTTAAAATAATCACGCGATTTCGATCAATTTGATAAAACAATACCTAATCTACCCTTGAGACGGAGATTTTGGGAGTTTCCGTGATTCAGACATGGCAAATCTTATTTGTCTGGATAAGGTTGTTTAAGAACCTAACACTTTGGCATGCAAAGTAGGCCAACGAAAAGCGGTCAAACTCATCAGCGCATGATAGTACATTGTCTTTAAATGTCACTCCACCTGACCATCAAATTCCGCATTCTCGGCTCCAAGGNATATTTTGCCCAGCGTCTTCCCATAACAGCACAGTTTCAACTGAGTAAAAAGAAAATGGCGATTTAACAGTATATACTGTTTTTAAACTGTTTTTAAGCATCTGCTAAGTCATGATTGCGATATATTTGCCCCTGGTCGTCACGCTATAGGTAACGGCAACATCCGGTCACGACATTTAAAATAATCACACGATTTCGATCAATTTGATAAAACAATACCTAATCTACCCTTGAGACGGAGATTTTGGGAGTTTCCGTGATTCAGACATGGCAAATCTTATTTGTCTGGATAAGGTTGTTTAAGAACCTAACACTTTGGCATGCAAAGTAGGCCAACGAAAAGCGGTCAAACTCATCAGCGCATGATAGTACATTGTCTTTAAATGTCACTCCACCTGACCATCAAATTCCGCATTCTCGGCTCCAAGGTCCACCTGTAGATCTTTAAGTACTCAAGAAAACAATGAGCGAAGAATCTGGCTAAATTTTCTCTATTTTGGTATGTCAGGAGCTGATTACTGGCATGAGGACCCGCATAGGACTTTTTTTTGTGCACGCCACACTGCGGACGCCGGCGTTGTTCAGGACGCTAGGTTTTGAACGACAAGCAATAAACTTCGTATTGCGAAAAGCAATTAGTTTCTTCACCGTTTGTTCCAATCATCAGTGGTCAGTTATTCGATAAAGCGGCACATCTTTTAACAAAATTAAGGCGGCATCTGATTGCAGTTTAACATATGCCTAACCCGAGGGACGTTGGAAATCGACCCTGCCCACAAGTTATCCAGAATAATCGAGCGCAAAGGTAAGGTTTCTCTTCCTTCAGTTCACATGGGAGTCCCTAAGGGGTAGGTGACCCGAAAAAAAAGGGATCATTCAGTATCTCCTGTCTCCGACGAGATATTGGAGGCCACGATAACGATTGCGCCCAGCGTAAACTGCTTCTGCCTAGTTGATCATGATGACCCTTTTACATTCGCGAAGAAATCTCTTTATAATATTTGCAAGCCATTTACAAGGACTTAAATTTCGCATTTTCTTGCAAGAATAGATTTTTCTTGAGGAAGATGGCGAACGTCTGCGTGACAAACGCTTACCCTTTCTAATTGTTATGTTCTTATAACTTAATTTTTCTACAGTTCTTCCGGTGAAGGCCCTGTGGCCCAATGGATAAGGCATCTGACTACGAATCAGGGGATTCCAGGTTCGAGTCCTGGCAGGGTCGATTTTGTCATTTTTTTTTTGTTCCATTTTTTTCCCCTTCCCTTACAGTTACGTTGATTACATACTTACCAGGATACTCACCCAAGTTTGTTTAAAATTCGAAAAAAATGAAATCAATAAAATCACTTATCGGCGCGGTTTGTTTATTAAACCCATCCCTCAATGAATTTTGCGAAATGACGCGTCTCAAGTCGAGCGGTTTCGAGTCATTTTTTGGCTATAAAGAGCTAAAAATTACCTCAAAGCTGCTTGCAGGTTATACACTTCGCAGTCTTCTGATCTATCATGAACTGTGCGTAAGGGTCCACGTGTAAAATACACGTATTTTCCCTTGTATTCAGCTTGCGAAGGTCGGGCATGCGCAGAAAGCAAAATGGACACAGCAGTCTTGACCTCTTTCCTCCCCTCTTCTAGCTTTTCTTACCTAATTTTTTTTACCTTGCTGGGCATTTAGTAGGCTTTTTTATTTTGGTGGGAAAATTTTTTTGGAAAACTTTTAGGATCGTAGGATTTATAATAGGTGGTCGTGCACTCGTTGGTGGTGAAACACTGAGATTTTCATGAAAATTTTCGGGTCAATGTTACATGCCAGTTTTTGCCTTTTTCTCGTCTCCTTGACTGAATCATGCTCATTGATTCTGGTATCGTTTGAAAGATCTCTTCACCCCGCACAAGTTTTTCACGGACAAAGTTGCCCTTGCCCGTTCAAACTGATGACGTCACAAACGGTATAGAAAGGACCTGGATCCGAACGGGCGGTTACGAGTAGTTCAGGGGCGAATGGGGTCGAATGGGATCAAGAATGGACTACAGTACTGGGGAATTTTACCCGGGGGGTACTCCTGCGAATTCTTGCATTGGTGGGGGTGTGCCGCCCGGTTGTCCAAATCCTGACCCTATTTCAGACCAAAACATGCAATTTTCCACACCCGTTTTCAGACCAGACCTCCAAAATCCTTATACCCGTTTTCATACCTGGCCTTTAGGCAAAGTTATGTTATTATTACTTAGATTATCGGGCGCAACAACTAAAATTCTTCAAACGCATTTCGAATTCGCAGTTGGGGCCGAGTAAGAGAGGACCTGGGAACGAGGTTGACTCATTTGGAATTGAAACGATAAATATATCGGTCAGTGTAAAACGCAGACTGCGGACTGCAGACTGCAGACTGCGGACCAGGGGTAAAATGAAGACTGAGTGTAAAATGCAGACTGCAGATTAAGAGTTATTCAGAATAATCGCGCGTAAAGGTAAGGTTTCTCTTACCCGTTAGGGTCTCCCATATGAACTGAAGGAGGTGACCCGAAAAAGAAGGGATCATTCAGTATCCCCTGTCACATCCGACGAGATATTGGAGTCCTCGACAGCTGCCTCGATAACGATTGCGCCCAGCGTTAACTGTTACATAATAAGATTCAAATCTCCTGCCTAGCATTGTTGATCATGATGACCCTTTTACATTCTCATAGAAATCTCTTTATAATATTTGCAAGCCATTTACAAGGACTTAAATTTCGCATTTTCTTGCAAGAATAGATTTTTCTTGAGAAAGATGGCGAACGTCTGCGTAACAAACACTTACCCTTTCTAATTGTTATGTTCTTATAAATTAATTTTTCAATGTCCTGCCGGTGACGGCCCTGTGGCCCAATGGATAAGGCATCTGACTACGAATCAGGGGATTCCAGGTTCGAGTCCTGGCAGGGTCGAATTTTGTCAATTTGTTTTTCTTCTATTTTTTTTTTTTTACTTCCCTTACAGTTACGTTGATTACATACTTACCAGGATACTTACCCAAGTTTGTTTAAAGTTCGAAAAAAATGAAATCAATAAAATCACTTATCGGCGCGGTTTGTTTATTAAACCCATCCCTCAATGAATTTTGCTAAATGACGCGTCTCAAGTCGAGCGGTTTCGAGTCATTTTTTGGCTATAAAGAGCTAAAAATTACCTCAAAGCTGGTTGCGGGTTATACATTTCGCAGTCTTCTGATCTATCATGAAATGTGCGTAAGGTTCCACGTGTAAAATACACGTATTTTCCCTTGTATTCAGCTTGCGAAGTTCGGGCATGCGCAGAAAGCAAAATGGACACAGCAGTCTTGACCTCTTTCCTCCCCTCTTCTAGCTTTTCTTGCCTAATTTTTTTTTACCTTGCTGGGCATTTAGTAGGCTTTTTCATTTTGGTGGGAACAGTTTTTAGGAAAACTTTTAGGATCGTAGGATTAGGTGGTCGTGAAACACGGAGATTTTCATGAAAATTTTCGGGTCAATGTTACATGCCAGTTTTTGCCTTTTTCTCGTCTCCTTGACTGAATTGTGCTCATTGACTCTTGTATCGTTTGAAAGATCTCTTCACCCCGCACAAGTTTTTCACGGACAAAGTTTCCCTTGCCCGTTCAAACTGATGACGTCACAAACGGTATAGAAGGGACCTGGATCCGAACGGGCGGTTACGAGTAGTTCAGGGGCGAATGGGGTCGAATGGGATCTAGAATGGGATACAGTACTAGGGAATTTTACCCGGGGGGTACTCCTGCGAATTCTTGCATTGGTGGGGGTGTGCCGCCCGGTTGTCCAAATCCTGACCCTATTTCAGATCAAAACATGCAATTTTCCACACCCGTTTTCAGACCAGACCTCCAAAATCCTTATACCCGTTTTCATACCTGGCCTTTAGGCAAAGTTATGTTATTATTACTTAGATTATCGGGCGCAACAACTAAAATTCTTCAAACGCATTTCGAATTCGCAGCTGGGGCCGAGTGAGAGAGGACCTGGGAACGAGGCTGACTCATTTGGAATTGAAACGATAAATATATACGTTCATACGCCCCCGTAGTTCCCTCAAAACCATACCCGATTGAGGGGATTCCAGACCAAGATAGGCAAAGCGTTTATCCGTTTTCAGACCAAAACGGCGCAATTACCTGATGGGGCGGCGGCATTCCTATATAACTTATCATACCCCCCAGGAACTTTATAGGCAAAGACGTTTTTGAGTAGTGCACGTCAACTGGAAGAGAGGTCCTTGTCCTCCCATGTATCGCTATCGATTACTATCGATTGTTATCAATTTTTAATCGATAATTATCGATAAATTAATGATTTTTTTCTATGACATCGATTTCATCGATTTCCAATATCAATCGATAACAATCGATGGATTATAACGATTGATATTGATCATATCGATTGACTCTTTTGTTTCCCGATATCGATTTCTGTCGATAAACTACTGGCCTGTATTGCTCTCTCAGTACTATACATCCAGGGGTCATCCCGACTAAAACGATTCAAAGGTCGTGTCACTCCCTCCCGAAATCCGAAGCGGAAGTCTTACACGCCCTCCATAGGACATATAGCATAAGATTTCTTTGCAGGGTATATAGGTTTCAATGCTGGTTATAGCCAGTCATGGAGCTACTTTATTTTGAGCAGGCCGGGAAGTTCAAAGCGTTCACATTTCGACAAATTTTGTAGTTTAATACTGCAAAATTTGTCGAAATGTGAACGCAGATATTAAATAAAGCTTATTATCCCATTATTATAAGTGTTTATACCACTTGAAACTTAATTTGAGAGTTTCAATGAATCACTGGAGCAAGTTACTTGTAGCAGTTTCACATTGATATTCTGACTGGATGTTTGAATTGTCGCAGCCTTCATCTTATTCAATGAAAATGCATATCAAAATTCTAATGAAAAACTGGGTTTTTAAAGTGTTCCAAACTTGGTTCCTTAATTAATTTTCAGAGCTTGAATCGTCACTGATCAGTTTTGCTGGATCAGATTTCCCTTAAACTTGACAGGAAGGGGATGAAAGAAAGAGACGTAGAGGAGAGGGGGGTGCAATTATTCAAGGGGGGGGGCATTATTTCAAATATTTCCATCAAAGGGGGGCAATTATTCGAGGGACCGCTATTATTCGAGGAAATACAGTAATTCACAAAAGGTCTTGCCTTGTTCTAGCAGGGGCTGGGCTCCTGGTTCTAGAGATTGAAGGTTTTTGAAGTCATGCTAAGTGCCTAACCCTAACCTAACCCTAAACCCTAAACCCTAACTCCCCCCACCCCCATCCCCTGGTAGGTAAGGATTGAAGTTTGCTGCACTTAAAGGTGATTGCCAGCAAGGGGGTAGGGACAATCTGGTGCAAGAACAGTGACTGCCACTGAAGGTTATGTATTCTCTTTAACAGTGTAAACATCCATATAATTATGAAAGACTTTTAAGAGGTCATTCCTCTGAAATGGAAGCTACACTGAGATTTTCACCAAACTTTCCCCATGTGATTCTGTCATTCTGTCAATTCTATGATGCCTGCCGCCATCTTGGAAAAATGATGCCCAGTAGAGGTGTGCAGTGCAAAACAGAGGAATGACCTTTTATGAACAACAACAACATCACCAAACAAGACCAGTGACACAGTATATACAAACTCATAAGAAACCTGCCAGATCATTTTTTATTCTTTATTTTTATTTATTAAGGAAGAAAAAACTGATTTACAATTTCAGGGCATTAAAATCTTTTTATTTCTAAAAAAATTAAAAACAAAGAAAAAAAAACCGTACTGCATGGTGCAAAAAAATTTTTGTTTCACTTTCTCACCTGTAGTTGCATGCGCCATTGTGTGGTCCCAGAAAATATAATAAAAAAACCTACAATTCGAGTGATCTGGCATGAATTATTCATGCCAGGTCACTCGAATTGAAAGGGGAGTGGGGTTTTAAAGGACCAAAGAAAGTCTTAATCAAAACTGGAATTTTGCGAGGTTTCAAACGGAAAACAAAAAGAAAACAAAAAGTGAAAACAACATAAAGAATTACACAACAACAACAACAAAAACTCCAGAGGAAAGGTATGAATATTTTTCCTGGGACAATACATGAAAGTAGCACAGTATATTTCTGTTAATTAACTTTCCTCGCTCTTGTCGTGTTTAGATTTTTAAGATTTTCCCTTCAAAGCTTATCACTTGTGTGAGCACAACATAGAAACAAACTAGCCATCAAAACAGTAGTTTTTTGAGGCCCTGTTTGGAGGATTACATATGTAGCTAATCTGAATTTCAAAACCTGTCATTTTAATATTTGAGGAGGAAGGCATGTCGCTGTCTGTATTTAACTGTTGTATTTTGGCATTTCTCTGTCACTGTTATATTTTGAACCCATCTTTGCCAGTTTCTACTATCTATGTTGATGCTTCAAGGCCATGTTGCTTGACTGGATTTTGACTTTAACAGGGCCTCTTTATGTTCTTACTGGCTAGTAAAGATCTAACACCCAAAACTTTGGTAGCACAATATTTTGGCACAATATACAATGGAATGTAATAACATCTTAAAAATTTGCCAAAACTTTATAACAATCCACCACAAAGTAGAAAATCTGTGTTAAAAAATTGCATTAAACACTTCTCTTTAAAAATCAGAAATCTCTACCAATTTCCTGATATTAATATTGTTTTAGTTTAGCTTGCAACTGAACAAAGTGATGCCTGAACAGTCTTCATTATAATTCCTCCTTTTCCTTTTGCACACAGTCATTGGTATAATCTTTACATAAAAAGTTGAAGAGATTCTTCCCTTTTCTGTATTCTGCATAAAGTTCATCTTCTCCAATATCTCCAACTAAATTCCCACATTTCGTTGCCAGTCTTAAAAAAAAAGACTATGTTTAAAACACGAATACCAATTTTCTTAAAATATAACCATAAAATCATAATTATTAAAAATAATAGGAAATAAGCTCTGGAGTCAAGCAGACAGTCACCAAACCTTAAAAACTCACTTCACTTGTATGCATTTATGTGCCAATATGCCAGAAGGCAAGTGAAAATAAATGCAAAGCAAGATCCACTCTGAAGTGTGCAAAGGTTGCCCCAAACGCTTTGATCTTTTATCAAATTCTCTCGACTAATTCTTCAAGGAAATGTATGCAGATCAGTCAGGAGAATTTGTATGTGGATACTGCCAACCTTGAAGAGTTAAGGAACAACCACTGACTAGCAAAGTCTCAATTTTCACAAGGCCTTAATTGCATTATAGCCAAGATAATAATGATGATGATGATGCTGATGATGGCAAAAATGGCAATGATGATACCTAAGTTTTGCCTTTGGTTTATAAAAATAAAGATTGTAATAGTTTTTTGGAACGACTTGAATTTTGCTGCCACAACTGTCACTTCTTCCACCAACCTCATTCCTGTTGTTCTTCTTTAATTGCTCAGGCCCACAATAAAAGCCTTTTCAAATAAATGTACAATAAAGTGCTCCATGACTCTTAACATAAGTGTGCCAAATTCTCTTTTCTGGTTTACAAGCAAATACAAAAGAACTTAGAAGCAGAAGTCAGCAGTTGATCAGAGGCCAGTTAGGATTTCTATCACACACCACTTATATTTACGTTCACACAACCTACCTTCCTGGCCATTTTCCTCCTCCTTGCATCATGCCAGGGACATCTTTAGCTTCAAGGCCTGGACCAGACAATCGGTTCACTCCCTTGACGGTCTTTATACCATAGCTGGAAAATTAAAATGCCAAGCAAGGAAAAAAATTAGAAAAATATTAATTAATACGTACTTATTTGCCTTCACGTAACTTAAGGCCTGGTTAGCTCATTTGAATTGCAAGAGGCCTCTGTTCAAGCCCTGGCAGAACAAAAACTGAACCTCAAACTTGCTGCCTCTTAAGGCTGGTTTTCACTAGCAACGGAGTCGGAGTTGGAGTCATAAGCAGAGTCATGAGAGCACTTATAACCTAGTGAAAATCAAAAATCAGCGTCATAAGCGGAGTCATGAGCACAACGGAATTGGAGTCAGGAGAATCAAAACATTTTCATTTCTTTCGACTCTGCTTCCAACTCCGTTGCTTAGATTACGCTTATGATCTAGGGAAAACCAGATTGTCGGAGTCGGAAGCAGAAGCCAAAGGATAAACCAATCACAATGCATGTCCGCAAGCTTTGTGATTGGTTTGGTTCTTCTGCCTCTGCTTCCGACTGGGATGTCACACAATTACTTTGGGGGATGTTGCACCACATGACAAAAACAGCTGCAATGGAGACTAGCTTCTGCTTAAAGAGAGTACAATTTTAAGTAAAAGAAAAACACAATAATAAGGATCAAACAGAGTACTTACTCATCCCAAGATTTATCACAAACAGTTTCAAACAAATCAATGAGCTCTGATTCTGGTAAAGGTTTTCCCTTCAGGGAGGGTTTCTTTTCCTCTGCCTTTTTCAGTGCGTTTTCCATCTACAAAGTGACAAAATCAAAACATAGATGCAGAGATAGCTTAGCAAAGTTGACAATTTGGAATTGAATACAGATAGAACAAATTTTTCTGATAAAACTAAAAAGGTCCAGTTCATAAATAAGTCACACCTGGAGCCAAGGACCTACCCTGGGTACCAGAGGTTTTTCTCATGTGCGGCGGAAATTTCCGGTGTTGGCCGAAGGCCGACACCTCTTCGGCCATACCGAAGAGTTTAAGACTCACTATAAGGACTTGACAGAAACCGGAGATTGCGCTAGAAAAGTCTCTGGCACCCAGGGTACCAAGGACCTAGAGCTTACTTATATTTCTCGTCACAAATGCTAAACAAAGTTTTGTTCCATCTCAGAATTACCAACTGCAAAACTCTTGAGATTCTGAACCTAGAGCTGCGAAAAGTAGTGAGAAGTGGGAAAAATCATGACATGTCCCACATCTCCTAGTGGAAGGACTTCCAGTGTGGATTATGGGTATTAAAAATATTCAAAGAACCAACTTTCTTGTAATGTATTGTCATTTTCCTGCAATCTGATTGGTCAACTTTTTCTAAGTGTCCCCCATTACAGTAGTCACACTAGCAGTTAACAATTGACCACTCCAGAAATACCATAACATACCATAATGCTCTTTGTTTGTCACCCAAAAAATTTGCATAAGCATTGTCTTCAGTTTCTCTTGGGAGTTAAAATGGCCCCAAGAGAAACTGGAAACAATGTTTGTGCAAAATGCTGGGGTGACAAACAAAGAGCATTATGGTATGTTCTGGTATTTTCTGGAGTGGTCAATTCACAGTCAATCTTCTTCACTGCTGCTGACATGCAAATTCGTCTTAATTCTGACTGAAAAATTGATCACAACAGAATGACAAGAAAACGTATTTAGTTAAAGAAACTAGATATGGCTAAAGCTTTGCAAGTTTAAAGTCTTATAGTTATCAAAAAGCTTATGGGCATGCAATGATAAAAACCCGTATTCGCCGTGAAAAATTAGCTGGTATCGATTATGGTATCAGCTGCGGTTAAACACATAAATTGGTATCGGCAATCTGTGATCTAAGCGTAAAATTACACAAACCATTTTCGATTGTAAACATTTTTTTTAGCTTTAAATACGTGTTCCAGCTCTTTTAAGATATTATATTGGACAAGCATTTACCAAAGGTAAAAACTACCTGATATGCAATAGCAGTGCAAGCATCACATGTTATCTCAAAGGATTTTGGAGTGTGAGGCGAATGTTGCTCTTCTTCATTCATTTTTGGAGTCTCGAAGCGCATTGGCTCGCCATCTTGAAAGCCATGGACTTCCGCGCACCATAGAGCCAGGATTGAATACAGCACGAGACCCATCGCAATCGCTAATTTCTCTTTACAGTAGTAGAAAGACACGTATTCGGAAGTGAACTAATATTATAAAACGTGTCAAAGTTTATCAAACCATAAATAAAAGTGTGGTTGACACAACAACTGCAAAACAGCAAATCGTATTTTGCCACGGAAAAAACAATTCTTCAGCGATAAGCCGCTGGTCATTTGAGTGGCCGCACGCCACAGGTGACCCAAGCTGTGAGGCTAGAAGACTTCACAGTGATCCAGGGGCAGATAGAGGGGTCGAGGGGCGTTTAGACTTTCCCTCGCCCCTACTATCTGCCCCTGGGTCTCCGAGGATGATCAGATCGCGGCCGATTTTGATTTCTAAATCAAAGCGACAAGAACACATTAATGTGTAGCATTAATATTATTTCTCGTCTTTTAAAAAAGACGAGAAATAAGTAATTTATGAATTTAGTTACTGTCTTTCAATGTCGTGTCGCTTACAGTCCTTATTCACAAGCATCCGACGACTGTTTTCTATAAAATATCTGTTCGGTGAAGCAAATATTGCCAAGAATTTTCTATGACTTACAGCTAAAAATTTCTAGACGTCGACTGTTCCATTCATTTACAATTTTAGACGCTTGTCTAATAAATGCCCTACGATTTTGTGTTTGATTTTGCCCTCCCCAGGCTTAGCTATTTTACTAGCCGGCGGAATTGTTATTAAGGGTGTGAGGAGAATGGGTTGGACGGGCGCTAACTCTCACGCGATGAAAAACAATTCTGCCAGCAACGCAGGCTTTGCTATGATAATTAACGCAAACTGAATCAATTTGCGAGTGTCAGATTGGGACTTTGAATATAATATCGAAAGTCCCTTTTGTTGTAATTAAATTGTTGCACGGTTGTTGTTGTTGTAGTTGTTGTTGCAGTAGTAGTTGCAAAATAAGTTGAAAGAATTGTTACACGCTCAGATGCCTTAGTGATAGCATCATGCTAACGTTGTTAATGTTGTCGTTGTCTAGAAAAAGATCCCCTAGAAAGGGCTATTATCATTTGAAACAATACTTTGAATAATAATTCAGCTTATGAGAGCTCTTAGACTTCTCTGTCGAGAAATCGGGTTGATGGACTGATTTTCTTGGGACCAAGAAAGATTGTACATTTATAAAAATAAAAGTGATAAGTGCAACAACCCAGAAGGAAAAAAAGCCAAGTGAAATAAACTCCAGGCACGCTTTTCGACCATAATCATTATTTTTTCCTTTATTATATTTATATAATAAATCGATCCGTTGAGAATCTGTCGGTCAGTTTCTTTTGCTGCATATAATGACTGGAAGAGCTTGTACAGAAACCCCTTTAACCATGTTAACCAGAATTTACTCCGTTGCTTTGACTCTGTAAGATAGGCGAGAAAAAAAATGAAAGCTGAGCATTATTTATAATTGCAAACCTCTAATAAATTATTAGGAAAAACTGTCAATACATAAAACAATAATCCCGGTCTGCTTCAGTTCGTGATCGCCAAAACCCGGGGCAAAATAAAGTACATATAATAATTGCTTCGAATAGCATCAATTACATTGTCGGTTGATGGTAATAAAGTCTAGACATCTGGGAGGAGTTATTGACCTGATCGGTCAGCTTAATGGCAATGCCAGTATTGGTCACATGTAACTCAATAAGCCCTGGTGCCGTTGGCTGTAAAGTCTCTACACACGCGAGTGGTGCGAAATAATCTGTCTTTGGGTAAACCTGATATTTGTCGCCTTATTAATTGCTAACTAACCAAATTGTTGTTGTTTTGCTGTTTTTTTAGTCAGTTTATTGCACATGATGTTTTTAATGTTTTCAGTTTGAGTTCGTCAATAAGTCGTTTGTACGGTACCGACACGTTAGTTGTCGTCAGCGTGGCAGAGGGTAGAGATGTGAGAGGGTTTGTATCAAAATACGGTCAACTACAGCCTCGTTCTCAACCTGACCTTTAAAATAGGCTGTTGCAGTCCAAAGGCCCCTCCACCTTCCCCCCCCCCCCCCCCCCCCCCCCCCCCATCCCCCCCCTCCCCCCCCCGTGTTCAGCACCATCCCTTCGTTCCCTCTTTGCCGCGGATAGTTTTACTCTCGCGCATCTCCCCCGCAACCCCC